ACATGAGAGACCATAAGGATTTGTTCCCCTCATTTTAAACTTCGAAGAGTACTGTCAAGTATCAGTGTCCACTTTCTGGCAATGGACACCTTACTTCATAGCCATAGTGGACAGAACTCCACCAAATGTTTTGCCATGCTGATTAAAAACTGCTGATATAGCTTCAAAGTTCTCTGTACCTGAGCAGGTTGTAGCATCTAGAACATGTTTTGTTTATTGTTCGTTTTTTCCTCTGACCAGACAGATTTTAGAACTTGTTAGGGATTCTGTTAAGAGTGAAACTAACCCAAACTGAAAAGAGGTCCCCAAAAACATAGAAAAGGATCATGGGTTTTATGATCAGAGCCACAGAGATTGGACTCTGGAGGTAGTTTTTAATTTACGTGCAAATGTGAGCGGGTTTTTTTTTTTCCTGATTGATTCTTATCCCTATTTGCAAATTCTAAACCTACTTACAGCAAGGTCGATGGTATGAGGTTTAATAGCATAAGCAATAATAGACAAATAGTAAATAAATTTAAGCCCCTCCCCGTGTTGTGGGATCTAAGCCCTTCTCAAACTAACACATTCACATCTCTGAAAGATACTATTTATGACAAATGACTTCACTTGGGGGGGTAGCAGAACAGACTGTTTCCTCTCCAACAGCTCTTTCTCATTTTATCCCTACAGAATCCTGACAGTGCTCACAGAGGAAGCAGCAGGGCACCAGGCAGAGATGGTTTAGGAAAGCAGGAACCCTTTACCAAATTGAGTATACCATGACTTATCTAAGCCAGCCACAGAGCATGGCAGTCCTGATCATAAAATGCCAGTGGTAGAGGGGTGAGCACAGCACACTTTTGAGCCAATGAGAAGAAAGGGAGAATATACTGAAACCCCTTTGGAAGGCATCTCCTCACTAGTAAAAGAAGGGCTAGGGGAATGCATAAAGAAATCCTTCCAAGCCTCTTTTGTTCCTACCTTTCAAATAAGTTCTGGGAAGACAAGACATATGGACATGAAGCACCCATCTGGCAGCCATAAAACAGACAGGAAGAAAGAACAAAGAATACAAAGAGCCTGTGTCCTGAATGACATCACTTATGTGTCACACCAGCTTTGATACTACCTTGCCAAGGTCCTCATCCTCTCATACAACTTGACTTAGGAAGACACTTTTAGATGATTATTCTATTACTGTTTGCCAAAGTACCCCAAATGACACAGAGGCCTTTGCCAAATTTCAACCTACACATTTCAGAGTCATTAGATAACACTAAAACTTCTAAACAATTCAGATACCCACTAAGGCCATTTTTCTTGGGTATAGGAGAGACAAAAAAAAAAAAAAAAAGGAATTCTATACCTTCATCTCCCTAACTTAATTGTATAAGTATTTCAATGAGGCCTTACTGAAGGCCCCCAACAGTACTAGGATAAGCATCATTGTCTACAACCATACAACCCAATCTCTTCGTTAGATAAGCATCTTAGGGAGAAGGGAAAGAGGCTACAAAGATAAATGAGACTTGGATCCTGTCCAAAAGGAAACTCACAGCCCAGTTGGACAGATAAGAAACAATAAAACAAAAGCAATATCCATAGTTTTGGCCTTAAAAGGAAACTGGAATCTACCTCTGTAAATCATGTGCCTATCACATTTTACATTTTATTTTTATGTGCCCAGAAACTTGAGCTAAAAGGGGGGCAAAGAGAGGGGGGAAAAAAACAAGAAAAAGAACAAAACAAAACAAAACAAACAAACAAACAGAAAACCAGGTAGTAGAGTGAAATAGGAAACTTTAAGCAAGGGAAAGTGAATCATACTCCCACGCTCTATTACTGAAGATGGAATATGGAGTCAAATGTGACTGATGCCTTAGTTTGAAACCCCTGGAGGGAAGATAGTTTACCTGGCTCCCTTTCAGGTTAGGAGTGGGAAGGCCGATACTGTGCTATATTTCTGGCTTTAGGATAATGTAATAAATACGACTCCTGCAATGTGTGTGATATTCTTACACTTGGTCAGCAATTACTATGTGTAGAGTGCTTCAAACTGACAGTCCTCTACACAACACTCCAAATGGCTTTTCACATGTAGAAATGTGGTGTACTTTATTCTTTAGTGTTCAAAGATTAGCTAGACAAAAAAGACTCCTCCTCAGCTCCAAATTAGATAAAGCAAGTCCAAAAGAACTCTCCAAAATACAAAAACATGTGGCATCAAAAAAGCAGCATATTCTAGTGGGTAAAGAGCATATGCTTTGGGTAGAAAGATCACTTGGCGGCAGTTAAGAGTGCTTCCTGTTCTTTACAAGGACCCGAATCTCATTCCCAGCACCCACAACAGGTGATTTACAATGCCTGCAACTCTAGCTCCATTGGCTCTAACTGGCCTCCATGTGTACTTGCACTCATATGTACACATTTATACACACATACACACACACACACACACACACACACACACACATACACACACACACACACAGGTAAAAAATAAAATAAAATCTTAGAGGCAGAAGAAGAGAGAAGAGAAGGAAAAGGAAAGGGCTGGCCAGTGGTACTGCAGGACTTTAATCCCAGCACGAGAGAGGCAGAGGCAGCTAGATCTCTGTGAGTTCAAGGCCAGCCTGGTCCACATAGTAAGAACAGCCAAATCTACACAATAAGAGTCTGCCTTGAAAAACCAAAGAGCAGGGGTGGAGGGAGAGAAAGACTGTTTTTGAGAGTCTTACAGACCTGAGTGCAAATTCTGCAACTTCTATTTTTTGTTCCCACAACTTCAAGCAATTTTCTTTACCACTCTCTGAGCCTCAGTTTCTTAGTTTGTAAAATAGGGTCACAACACTTTCTTCACAGGGTTTCTGCAAAAACAAATGAGGTAAGGGTTGAGTCATGGCTCAGTCAATAAAGTGCCATCATACAAGCATCAGAAACTGAGTTTGGATCCCCAGAACCCACAATGAAAACTGGGGGTTGCCACACATGCTGCAAAGACAGCCAGATCCCTGAAGCTCACTGATCAGTCAGTCTATTTGAGTCTATGAGTTCCTGGTACAATGAGTGACCCTGTCTCAAAAAGAAGGAAGAGAAGGAAGAGGAGGAAGAGGAGGAGGAGGAGAAAAAAGGCAATTAAGGAAAGACACTGGATGTTGACTTCTAGTCTACATGGACACACACACACAGAGGGAGAGAGAGAGAGAAAAGGAGAGAGAGAGAGTGAGCAATAAATATGTACATCGTGTAAACACAGCACAACAGACACACATAACGCAAATGCTTTTAAAATGAAGTGAGACACTCAATAATGAAGCACAACTGGCCTTAGCATATTCACAAAAATAATGCTTTCTTTGCCTTCATGTCTTGGTTTTGATCTTGGGTGTATTTTAGAATTGTAATGGCAGAGTCAATTCATAAACAGATAATAACAGTAGCACAAGTAATACACAGAGGCAGAGAAACCCAACCTTCCTAATTTTTAACTTCAATGCTTATCTGTAATTATGTTTGATGAGTGATCAATTTTAGAGAACTCAGAAGACCTCAAAAATTCCCATCAAGCCAATCTTTGGATATTTGAAAGTAATTCTTTTTGTCCCTTCTGAATGCCAGTCTGTAGCTAGCATGAAGTGAGTTCACACTATGTGTCGAGGTTGAAAGGAAAGGAGGCTGAGGGAAGGGAATTTGCACACACAAAAAGATACCACTGCTCTCCTAAAGAATCACTGAAATCTGAACTCATCCATTCTCTTTCTTGTTCTTCCTTCCCCTTCTTGCAGACTTCAATTCACTTTCCCCTTAAGAGGGAGAATTAGGAGAGGTAGGGATGCCTTTACAGAAAATAATATTTTCGTTCTTCAGATATCCGTCATCAGAAAAGTCATCAAGTCAGCTAACTGCATGTAAGGAAAGAGATGGTATTCAGCAGATTATGCCAGGAGGGCGATATCTCAAGAGGCAACTAGACAGAGCCTGGCCATCTGGGAGTGTGGGGATTGAGAACAGATCCTATAGCAAGGGATGGATGGTCTGAGAAAACAAAGCCTTAAGAGGTCTACATTAAAGAGGCAGAGACACATTTCAGCCAGGAATTTTCAGGAAGAATCAGAGAAGCCTGAAGTTTTTCAGAAGCTTTTTGATTGGTACCTGTTATAAAACTCATTTCACAGTTTTGTTTATATCAAATATCTTCAGTTTTCTTCTGGATTCTGCAGGCAGACTGGCATTTCTCTGAAGATGAGAGAGTGAAGTGGCCAGTCTGTGGAGGAATATTACACAACACCAAAGCAGCCAAATGAGTAGGAAGAATATATAAGGAAAGACAGTTTTGATAGATGAGGCCCGATCACTGGCCCTCCCATCACTTCTTACCCATTCCCAGTATGAACTTTTACCATTCTTCCAAGAGTGACATTGTGAGAAAAAAAATAGAGCTTTTAGAGAATGTTAAGTTCAGAAGCAGGGAAATGTATGTTAACAAGTATAGTTATACAAAAAAAGCAAAAGCAAAGTAAATATAGCACAGGGAAGCTAATGACTAACACTTCAGAGTGCCCTTTAGTGTCCTTAGAATTCTTCCACTCCCAGGAGATGGCAATGGCTTGGTGGATAAAATGCTGCTGTGAGAGTGTGAGGGCCTAATCTGAGATCCTCAGCATCCATGTAAAAAGCCAGGAGTAGCAGCAGATTCCTATAACCTCAGGGCTGGGGAACCAAGACAGAAAGGTCCCAGATGTTAGCTGGCCAGATAGTCTAGCTAAGACGATGAGCTCAAGGTTCAGTGAAGGACCCTGTCTCAAAAAATAATGTGGGCAGTGATCAAGAAAGGCATATGATAGCAAATGATGGCCTACAAACACACACACACACACACACACACACACACACACACACAGTACAGCACAATATACACATACAAAGACTTTTTTTTCACTCTTATACTGGAAAGGAAGGGGGTAAGGAAGAAAATTGTACAATTATTTTGGCAAGTCAGGAATCTCTCACTTACTTACCCAAATGCATGAGTTGGGGTAAACCAGAAACCTTATGAATCCAACCTTGTCTGATGTCCAGGTAAGAACAAAACCTGGTGGGAGTAACTTACCTACAAGAAACAGGCACAAGTTCTTTATGATACAGATAGGTGAGTTGAAGTGGGTAAGAGTAAGTGGTAGGCTATAGAACTGGCTCAGTGGTTAAGAGCACATGTTGTTATAGCAAAGGACCTGGGTTCAATTCCCAGCACCCACATGGAGGTTCACCACCTCCTAGGGTATCAGTCATGCATGTGGTGCACACACATATATTCAGGCAATACATCCATACACATAAAATAACAAACAAATAAATAAGTAAATAAATAAATAAATAAAACATGGTGGCTCACATCTTTAATCCCAGGATGCAGGAGACAGAGGCAGGCAGAACTCTCTTGAGTTCGAGGCCAACCTGATCTACAGAGTGAGTTCCAGGACAGCTACACAGAGAAACTCTGCCTTGAAAACACCAAAAAATGAATGAAAAATACATAAGTAAAAACAAATTTTAGGGAGGGTGAACAGAAGGAGTAGAGGGAGGGAACCTGTGGTTGGTATGTATGTAAAATAAATAAAAAAATGATGAAAAATAATAATAAAAAAAAGCGAAATAGAGTTTCCTTGTTAGGAAACTACACTGCTGTGAGACTATGAGGAGATACACTGAAGGAAAGAAAAATGTTCCAGCTCATTACTTCTCTGTCAAATGACCAGACCAGCAGTTACTATTTCCCCACTTGTTGACTTGGGTCTCTCATCCCAGGTATGCATCAGTCACTACACAAAGAAGCTGCTGAAAGCCTACTTTCTAGGACAGATGGCCCCAGATTCTAATTTAATTGGAGTGAGGTGGGAACGAGGAAAAAGCAGTTTCTGGAGTTCCATGAGACACTAATTCCAGTATTATGTGACATGTCTTAAGAAACAGTGGAGTAAAAGACCTGGGGTAGCGCATGCATCAATATTGGCAATCTAAATGGTTCAAGGAGGCATTAATTGGGATGATGGGACCTGATATAGACAAATATGAATGAGGCTTCTTCAGGCACCACCTGTAAAGTTCTCCCCCATGTTAATCTTCATATTTTACATGACAGGATCCATTTAAAATGTAGACTCAGGGTCGAGCAGGTTCCCCAGGAGCAGGGAGGGCTCTTGCCTACCTAGTATGGGTGAGACCTTGAGTTTGATCCCTAGCACACTTTTTCTGGTTTTTGTTTTGCTTTTTTAAAGGTTGGTTTTTAGCTTAAATAACTCATTGCAGAATAAATGAAGAAGTTACTAAAAGCAGCTGTATATGGTGTTCTGGAGTGTGTCACACACATAGCAATTACTAATAAAGTTGAGTGTTTCAGAAGCAGCTACAAACAAGTGCATTCTAGCTTCTTTTTGATTGTGTGCCATAAAATTCAGACCAGTAGGTAATTTCCATTTTGCTGCAGAAGTGATGCTGATTTTGTCTGACTTTTCAAAAGCTATATTGAGCTGGGTAGGTTTATCCAGTGCAACATAAAACACTGTGGAAGCAACAGCTAAAGTAAAAAAAAAAAAATGCCACAAGAACAACATGAAATCTCTACTATTTTCTGAACCATACAAGAAGTTTGCCTCGGAAATATTTAAAAGAGGGTGGAAAGGACAGGTCACTGTTCTCTGAACTGAAAGCGTGGTGGGTGTCATCATTATGATTGCAAAGGAACCTTCATGAGTGAGTCACCAAATTTGCTAGAATCCAAAAGTGTCTATGAACAACACCAAAGTTTTGAGAACTGTTGCACCAGAGAGGGATTTTGTGTTAATGAACACTAGTGTTCTTCCAGTGTGTCAAGTATAATAGCCTCAGATTTCAGGCAGCAGAACCTAAGAAATGTGCTAGAAGGAAAGGACAAGAAGCGGTGGACAGAGCCAGCCAGAGTCATGAGGCTTGACTGAGGGAGACAATCACAGGCTTACAGGGGAGTGCTCTCAAGGGAGAGACCTACATGAAAGTCATGAGAGGTAGATTAAGCAGGAGAGCAAGCTGCTGCAGTTTCACTGGGGCAGCGAGGCTGGCCAGAAGACATGTCCAAAATGACACCTAGGAGTTGGTTTTTGTAACTCCCTGTTGGGTACTATGATTTTGGCCTTCCCATTAGAACAGATCATAGCCTTGGATAAGCCGGAGCTCAGGAAAGGACAAAGCTATAAACTTCATCACTGTATTTTCCCTAGAGATGGGGATAGGTCTGCCAAGCTGAAATCAGGGACCTGACCAGAGCATCATTGAATCCATCAGGAGTAGTATTTCAGTGGGGCACCACTTATGGCAGGTAGGAAACCACTGAACGGGGATGGCAAGATCAGTGGGGCATAGTATATTAAGGCAAGGGTTGGCCTCTGATAGGAAGTGGTTAGCAGAGGGTAAGCAAGTTACCCTTGGCCAAAGGGAACAGGTTGGCTTTGAATTGGCTTCAGTAGACTGCCATAGTTATTGACATAAAGGTGTTTTAAAAAGATTTCATTCAGGAAATCTCACTGATGCCACCATGAATGGGAGAAGGCAGCAATTCAGCATCCATTAACATAATTTTGTGCCAAGAGAAAGATTATACACTCCCCAAGTACTGGGCACAGACAATAAAAGCAATTCCAGATCCACAGAGGTTTTGATCTTCACCTCCTAAACTGCTTGCAGCTACTTCATTCGACCAGGGCTGTTAGGTTAATTGGAGAATTTCCACCAATATAAGCTAAATTTTCAAATGTCCCCAGTGACCTTTAGTTGATGTTGTCTGCTACTGAGGAGTGGTGTTAAGTGTGGAGATATGAAAGGGTGACAACATGAAACAGCCAGAGTTTCTTGTAGGGTAGAGGCCTTGCATGACTTTAGTTTTGAACAGAGGTTGATCTATAATGATGGGTGTGACAGTTAATCTGCATTGTCAACTTGACTGGATTTAGAACCATCATGAAAACATACCTCTAGGTATATCCACAAAGTTTCTAGAAAACTTTAACTCAGGAGGGAAGACTCAGCTTGAATGTAAGCAGCAGCATCCCATGAGCTGGACTCCTGGAATTATTAAAAAGGAGAAAATGAAGTGAGCATCAGTCTCTCTCTCTCTCTCTCTCTCTCTCTCTCTCTCTCTCTCTCTTCTCCCTCCCTTCCTCCCTCCTTCTCTTGACCCCACTGTGTACACAATATGACTAACTACCCATGCTCCTCCTGTTCCTGCTTTGCTTTCCTTTCAAACTACTAGCCAAAACAATCCCTTCTTTCCTGGAGTTGATTTTGTCAGAGTAGTGAGAAATCCAACATATATTTAGTAAAGCTACCAGTCACTGTGGTTTGGATTATATGCACACCACTGTTTTTATTTATTTTTTTAGGAGCTTAATTTAAAAGACTTGATATCTTACTATTCAAAATAGAATTCAGCCGAAATCCTCATGGTGTTATTATTTGGAAAATTGTATTAGTTTACCAACACCATCCTCAAAATTATCCCTGCTTTATTTCAGACTTCAAGGTTTAATACTTTTATGCATTATCATTTCTTCCCTATATCCTACCCCATACAACCCCTATTTAACTTCGCTCAGAAACTAATGTCGCTCAGTGACATTAGAATTTCACAGTCAGCACAAGTATGTATATTTTAGGTATACAATTCATTCTTACGATCCTTACTTGTCTGTCTTGAAAAAGTCATACCCATCAATGCCAATCCTGAATTACCACACCAAGAATTTGTAACGCCAATTAACTCAAAATCTCCATCATGTATGAAGATTTATGAATATTCCAAAGGCATTTTGAGTTGCTGAAAAGCAAGTCCTGAGATTGCTCACTCATGTTATGTCTTCAAGAATGAAAGAGTAACTTCAGGAAAATGTCATTTCCTGTGATGATTATTTGAAAAGAAATTTTCTTTAACTGAAATTCAGTTTGCACATTCATTTTTCCCACATGTTATCTATATGTTGTATTGTATTTTATACTTTTCTTCTTTCAAACGTTACAAGCAGATATCCAACGTCATTCTAATGCTTATTGAAAATGTTATCTTTTGTTTTATGTGCATTGGTGTTTTGCATGTTTGTCTGTGTGAGAGAGTGAGATCACCTGGAACTGGAGCTGCCATGTGGGTGCTGGTTCTTGAACCCAGGCCCTCTGGAAGAGCAGCCAGTGCTCTTAATTGCTGAGCCATGTCTCCAACCCCTGAAAATGTTATCTGAAGGTCAGAATTTCTGTAGTCCAGAAAAAATAAAGTAATAATGTGATTTCAGTTAGAATAACAGTATCATTTATAATGCCACAACAGTTAAGAAATAAAGCATAGTATTTAGAAAATCATGCAGTGATCATTATGTATAGAAATGATCATCTAATTATTATTTATAAATTTCTAGAATATTAAATGACTAATATGTGAACTTCAGCTTAATAATCTCTCAGACATTTTGTGTGAAAAATGGGATAAATGAGAGTCTAATCCAGAAGACTTATTTGAGGTATATCTGTCTTAAGCAAATTCTCCAAAACATTAGGAAAAAACAATTGCCAAAAAGATTGTATCATAATACCTAAGTGAACTGTAAAATTTAACAGAAAAAAATCTTTTCACAGCCTAGTCTACAAAGTGAGTTCCAGGATATCCAGGTCTATACACAGAGAAAGCCTTTTTTAGAAAACCAAAATAAATAGATGATAGATATATAGAAAAATAGATAGGTAGGTAAATAGATGGATAGGTGCGTGGGTGGGTGGGTAGGTAGGTAGGTAGGTAGATAGAAAAGCTTTTCTTTCACACAAAGGATTTTTCCATACAATTTGTTTTAGCATAGATGTCTCCCCCATCACTGTCTTTGTAAGTAGGCCAACAATTATTTCTACATTTGGCAATACTTCCTGCTTTCTATTCATCTATGCCCAAACTCAAGTCCTGGTGATGCAGAAAGAGTTTCAATGTTACAGATAAATTCTGAGGACAGCCTCACTGCTATGTGGAAATTAACTGCTATGAAGGAAATTAGCATTCACTGAGCCAGACCTAAGCTTACTTATGTCTCAAATTCAATTTTTCTATTCAAGAAATATTTATTAAATGTATATTGTATGCTAAACACTGAAATATTAAAAATAATATTTCATATTCTTGTATCTGAAAAATGCTGGTGCCCTAATCCAAGTGATTTGAACTCATGATAGCTGAAGAAGTGTTGCTATATTTTTATTTTGAAATCATGAAATAGAGTCAGCCAAAGGACAGAGGTCATGTGGTAATTACACTCGAGTCCAAAAGAATCCAAGCTCCCTTCTTCTACTGTCTTTGAGTAGTTGAACAAAACAGTTTTTCTTAGGATGGAGTGTTTTGGTGGAAATGGAAACATCAGTAAATCATTCAGTGTCAAAACCTCATTATACATAGTGTGAAAGGTTATTCTGTCCTATGTACTACTTTCCATATGTCTATTACTTATATAAAACTGCCTACAGATGAACATCAGCCCTCATGGGTGGTGGTTTTCAGAGAAGCCCAGACAAAGCAAACCATAACATTTAGACTCAGTACAGATAATCTTCAACAATAAGTTAGTCAGTGTCCTGACTAAGAAGAGCTTAAGAGCACTTCTCTTCCCCAGAGGATTCTTAGTACTAACCCCTATTTTCTATGCTTAACTGTTGATACAGACCAAGCCAAGCATATACTGTGGGGACACTTCAAATAAATGGCCTGGGGCTGGGCTAAAGGCCAAGACCACTGGAAACTCCCCTCTAAGCTGTGCATTTTTAGGTTGTGATCATCTTTGGGATTTTCCCCCAAAACTTCTCTATCAGGGTAGAAGCCTGATGGTGCCATAATCAGGCCAGAATACAGGTTAGGAGATTGAAGTGACTATGAAAAAAATTGCTTTACATCTTGATTTCTCTATTCTTAAATCCTTCCTCATTTTTAAGTGTCTTTTGATTTGCATAGTCTTAAGTCCTGTGTATTTGCATGTTGAAGTCTTCTTGTAAATGTGTTTGCTTTCCCCAAAAATGATACACTCAACATTTCCTGACAGTCTATGTCCCATAGAATTCTAGGTACTTTTGGTTTATTATAACTAAGACTAAAGAGAAAGTTTGCAAATAGCATCTGACAGGCTTCTAAAATAATAAAAGTTACAAACCAAATGTTTTGTCAAACACCGTGATGTGATTCATGGTTCTATGAAATCTGTTTCTCCATTAAAAAGCTGGACTACACACACACACACACACACACACACACACACACACACACACCCCCATTAAAAAGCTGGACTACACACACACACACACACACACACACACAAATGTCTTCAGAAACAGTGCACATTTAAGCTCTTGTTAGTAGAAGCACTAGATGACTAGATTTTATTTATTGAACAGTTTAATAAAGTTTTAGGCCTTGGAAATGACTCCAAGAATGGCATACTATTAGAGAAAAGAAAAAGATCCCCAATGCAGCAGACTACCAAGCTATCTAAATTATTGAAACCATTTTATTTTTCCCACATATGCCTACTGATTCTACATGTACTAGAAGACTAAAAGTCTATTCAGAAACGCTGGTTGCAAGCTATCTGTGACCCAGATACTGTTTGGATTTGCATGAGACATTTCCAAAGCAGCCTGGGAAAACCCACAAATTCAAAGCAGCCTCTTTATCCTCACCCCATTTCTGCTGAGTCCAAGAACCTTATTTCACTTCCTGCATGGTAGGCATTTTTTAAGGACTATGTAAGCCATGACATCTGCACTGCTTTCTGAGTCACTGTCGTGAGATGATACATTCTCAGTTGTAGGACAGCTGCTTGGTTCCCAGAGGAAACAAACAAACACAAGACTGCAAGGAACTCGTTTTGCAAAACAAAACAATGAGAGTGTACCAGTCCAGATTTTTATTAATTAATTAATTTTTTTGGACACTGGGACTGTGGCTTTTAAGTTTCCAAATGACAGCTCCCAAGTCTGAGAAGATGTCTTAAATGGAGCCTTTGCTTCTGGTCATACTAGAGTTTATGGATGAGCTGGCCAGGATGAATGCTCTGGAAGTTTGATACACATACTCTAATTGTGGGAGACCAGTGAGACAGACCCTATATTTGAGATAGCTAGAACAACAAGTTCATCACTATAATTATCCCTAAGAAGAGTAAATCTTCAGTTGTTCCACAAGTGTCTTACACAGTGGTGTGGTAGTTTCTCAGTTGTGAAGTAGAATAAAACGTAATCATCTCCCTCACAGAACTTCAAGGTAGAACATACAGGGAGAATAAGATAAGAAGTCCATGTAGTGTATCAAATTATAAAAAAATAGGTATTTCAATATATAGATAAAGGAAAGTAACAAGTAAAGTCTTCTGTTGGTGAAACCCTTGCTACAAATGTGGTGACCATTGTCCCCCAAATGCTACCTTGTAAAAGAAATAATAGATGCTTCTAGTACTACTTCTTGGTGAGTATAAGTATATGTATTAGGTAAGGAGAAGGGGTATCTGTGTACAGGATAGTAAGAAAGGGATAATCTACTGTCAAAAGAACAAGGTAGAACAAATGTGGGAAACACAAATGCTTCCACAAATGATTCCTGTTCACAATGAACTTTTCCTGAAGCACGAAGAGACACAAACAAGAGATCAAAAGACTGGGGCTGCACTGCAGGATTTTGATTAATGCTCACTGGATACTTTGGCATAAGTCAGTTAACTTGCTTCCCAAATGTCAGTTTTAATCATTAGAATAAAGAGTTTGGGATAATTTTCCATTTCTTCCTCATACCACTCTTAATCCTACTGCCCAACATAAAATTCTCAATATATTGTGTCTTTCCAAAAATAATTTTTAAATACACATACGCACACATGTATACATATATACAGAACATATGTGGACATACCTGTGGCCATCTTGCTTTTTTTCTTCTTACAGAAATAACATAATGTTATGAAAGATTTTTTTAGCAACATACATTGTAATTTACTTATAGATCTTGGAGATCTTTTGGGGGCAAATCTAGAAGATTTATTCTTGTTTAAATGT